AAAATCGGTTCAGATTTATATAGCCCGTTATATATTTCGTCCGATTTAATGTAAATGGTGCACCAAAGTCCTAATATATTTTTCGATTAGCATAGAGTACTAAATAGAGGGTAAAATGATGTATGCTAAGTTTCGTGAAGATCCGTTCAGATTTAGATATAGCTCCCATATATATTTTCGTCCGATTTTACATAAATGGTGCACCAAACTGTTAATGTTTGTCCGATTAGCACGAAAATTTGCACAACGTATCAAATTGAGACTTTAATGACGTTGTTGGGTTTTGTTGAAATTGGTGCAGATGCAGCCATAGCTTCCATACGTATTTCAAACGGGTGTCTGATTGAAATTAAATTTTTAACCGAATAGCGTGTATCAATTTTGATAGGGATAAATATGTACAATATACCCTAAGTGGTGAAGGCTATCATATATTCGGCCCAGTCCGACTTTACTACTTTCCTTACTGGTTATTAGGTTAGGTTTTGCTCGGTGTAGCTCCCAAAGAGCCGTACCCCACATTTTTCGATATTATGGGAACGTCCGAATTGACTATGATTTGATACTTTTAATGGATTAATGCCGGTAGCTACCTTATAACAATTTTGAAGGTTATGACCACATTTTCACACCAAAGTGGGCTTTTGGAGGCTGGTATATATGCAGATAATTATCAAACTTGGTCAATGTTTGCATATAAAAGTAGCACCAAATTTTCGGTATTTTGAAGGTTTTAGCAGGTTTTAGGTTATTTTAGTGTAGGACCTATTTATGCAGACAATTTCCTTCGTAGGTTATGTTTGGACATACGTCACATAAAAAATTTGGCCCTATTTGTGTACTTTTGAGGTTTTACAACCTTTTTACCATCGAAGTGGCTGCAATTTTAAAACAGACAATACCACAGCCACCATATGAAGTTCCCGACCATTCATAAGAGAATTTTAATGCACTCCACAATGTGCAGTGTATAGAATGTTTGAACGGTTGGGCTTTTTTTACTTGTTCAGATTTACTGACACTTTTCTAACATTGGAAAATCCAACTCACATCGTGAAACATTTAGAAATTTAGGATGAAACCAAACATACCGACATTTTTAAAAAAATTCCAGAAAAAATAAAAAAAATGCTAAAAAATATGCTAGGTGCCATATCATTTTTTTGGTGCTAAACGAGTTTGAAAAGGGCTAAATCTAGCTCTAAAAGTGCTAAATTGGCCACACTGGATGTGCTGGAAATATAAACGGCAATCTCTTTAAGTATTTGTATTATATGAAGGGGAGCAGAGCTGAATGCTATCGGACGCCTCCACAGGTTGCAGATAGCCTAATATTATTCATTGAATAACTGTGAATTTAAATAAACAGTAGTGGGAAATCAAGGGGTCCTGGGGAAAAGTCTAGAAGGAAATGAAAGAGTGCTTATGATCCCAGGAACGAGGAGGCGATAATGTCGGCCCTAAATATCCAATTCTCAGGCCATAGATCACTTTCTTCCTAAATGGCCTTTCTAACGCTGGGATGTTAGGCGACCTCGTGCTACGGTCAGGGTCCCTCAGCAAGGCGCCTCAGCAAGTTTTTTTTCAGTCTTAGTTGCCGAGTCTTTACAATGGTTAGAGGCTATGCTATTGCTAACCTTAAGTCCTCACTTCAAACACTTTGTATGGAGTCGATTTTGAGCCCTCACCGCCTTTTTCAAAGAATAAAAATAACATGGAATCCAATTTTCCGACAACTGTCTCGAACTCTACTAGTTCAGATCCTAATCAAAATACACAAACGATGGCGGCTACTCCCATTGTACCGGATCATTCTTCAGTTTTTAATCCCCATTTCTCTCGACGTTGTCAACGCAAGCCTGCAGAGGTAGACGGACCTTCTCCTCGACCAGATCAGTGAGGAAACTGGCTAAGTCCGGATAGTATCCCGACTCATCTCTGGGATGACTCACCTTTGAGAGACGAGGAAGACGCTATGGATACCACTGTGAGTAACACGATGGCGATGACTCCTCCGAATCAAGTGATTCGTCCACGATGATGAGAAAGGATGCAATCACTGGCGTGTGTGAAAGTTCCATCTCCATTTCAAAGGCGTGTTGAAAGGCTCGAGACTTCGTAGGCAATTGACCATTAAAGTAGAGACTGCTGCTGATGACCTTCCTATCAGAACGATCGGTGAATCGCCAGCACAAGATACACCAGACGCATCAGTGCCAAAGAAATCTCTGGCAAAAAAGTGTGGTTAATTTCTGCAACTGGTTTATCGAACGGAACAGAGACTTTATTATCGATAAGGAATTCATTCTGATTAAGAGGAAACTTAAATTCATTCGGAACCACGCGAACGACATTGCGAGAGATTCTTAATCGAAAGAATTCCTAAAAAGATTCACAGGAGAGCACATGATGCAATAATAAGGTGATGTATGAAAACAAAAACCTTTGTTGTTGTCTCGATTATCTGTCAAAATTTTCTATATTATATTTCAAATAGTTGGCAACACTGCACATCGAATTCAAGTAGAAATTACCCACTTTGACAGTTAATCAAGACATCAGCTGCGCTAAATGGACTACCTATTCATTATGCCATGGGAGATCAATTAATTTCTGCAATCGGTTTATAGATAAGGAATTCTTTCTGATTAAGAGAAACCTCTAATCCAGTGTTGGGCAAAATTAAATTGAGAGCAAGTGTGTGCGAGCGTAACTGAGAATTCACCATTAAAAACGACTGACGTAAGGAGAAAGAAAGAGAAAATGTGTTTACTCATCGACCCTCAGTTACGGTAGCGTATATGGGTAAGCATGCCTGCTCTAATCCATTTGGAAGTTCTCTCGGAACTATGCGAACGACATTGCGAGAGACTTTGTAATCGAAAGAATTCCTACGGCTCATTTCAAGAGGAACGCAGTTGGCCTCCCAAACGAGGAGGAGGAGACTGCGATTAGTCTGATCACCAGTTGGATGATGATGTCGGTGACATCAGATCGTTCAGCATCCTGTAAGGGTGCTCTGAATGTTGAAAATGTCGGGTTTGGCTAATGTGGTTGTAATGTATCCGCCTTATTTTTCAATCGAAGCGACAGTAATTCGGCATTCAGGGTTCTTACAGGGTGAAAAAATACATTCAAAGAAAGTTGTCAAAATACATCCACACATTTCAAAATGGTATATAGAATAGAAAGTGTGGTATATAGACATTACGGATTCTTTGTCGTAATAAAACATTTCCCAGAAAATTTTTAATATAGGATATTTTTTAACGTAGATCCATATACAGGTTCCACTCTATGTTTCAAGCTAATTGGATATTATTTAGTATTCGCCGTTTTTTTGGAGAATGCAAACTTCTTTGACGGAAATATTCAAGATATGTCCATATTTAAAGGTCCCACCCACTCATTTTACCCTTCACCACTCTGTGGTACAGGGTATTATGTCTTTGTACATATGTTTGTAACAGGCAAAAGGAAACGAGATAGACACATGGTTCCTTTTGAGAATATGCATAGAATCGCTTTCTGAGTCGATTTATGCATGTCCGTCCGTCTCCCCGTCTGTTGATGTTAAATTGTAAACATAGTACAGGTCGCATTTATAATCCGAATTGGATGGCATAGGTCACTTATTTGGCCCAAGGACGAACCCTATTGAAATTGGGAAAAATCGGTTCAGATTTAGATATAGCTCCCATATACATTTTCGTCCGATTTAATGTAACGGTCCCTATATAACTTTCGATTTGCTCGAAAATTGGTACAGCGTAATGAATTAGGTCTAGAATGATGTGTGTTAAGTTTCGTGAAAATCGGTTCAGATTTGGATATGGCTCCCATATATATTTTCGTCCGATTTAAGGTTAATGGTGTACCAAAGTCCCTATATATCTTTCGATTTGCACGAAATTTGGCACAGCGTAATGAATTAGGTCTAGAATGATGTGTGTCAAGTTTCCTGAAAATCGGTTCAGATTTGGATATAGCTCCCATATATATTTTCGTCCGATTTAAGGTAAATGGTGTACCATAGTCCCTATATTCCCTTCGATTATCACGAAATTTGGCACAGGGTAATGAATTAGGTCTAGAATGATGTGTGTCAAGTTTCCTGAAAATCTGTCCAGATATAGATATAGCTCCCATATATATTTTCGTCTGATTTTCGGTAAATAGTGCACCATAGTCCCTTTATATCCTTCGATTAGCACGAAATTTGGCATAGCGTACTGAATTGAGTCTAGAATGATGAGTGGTGAGTTTCGGGAAAATCGGTTTAGATTTCGACATATCTCCCACATATATTTGCGTCAGATTTTATTTAAATGGTGCACCAAGGTCCCTATATATATCCTTCGATTTGCACAAAATTTGGCATAGCGTACTGAATTAAGTCTAGAGAGATGTGTGTTAATTTTCGTGAAAATCGGTCCAGATTTAGATATAGCTGCCACATAGAGATTATATTTTTAACAACGCGGCGTACCGAAGAGCGTGTATCAATTTTGCTATGAATCGTTTTCCATAAATTTTCCCCCTGTTACGCTCTAAATCTGATCGAATGAAATTAAAGTTAGGATAGGTTGGAGAAAGAGGGAACATAGACATGCAATTGTTAGGATACATAAGAACAATATACCCAAAGTGGTGAAGGGTATCATATAGTCGGCCCAGTCCGACTATATATATACTATATATTTCGAAAATTAAAATTTTAGAACAAAATTTTTTTTGAAGATCATTATAAGCGTGGATTTTTTAACGAATATTTTCTGAGGGCCATTATAAGCGTGGATTTTTTAAAGAATATTTTTTGAGGCCCATTTTATGTTACAATTTTTTATAGAATATTTACTTGAGGTGCCCATATGATCTTAGATTTTTTAAAAGAGTATTTTTTGAGGTAGCAACAGATGAACAATGTTTTTTATTATAAAAAAAAGAAAAAAATAATTTTTAAAATGTATAATTATATATTAAAAAAAAAACAATGAAGATCAGTGAGTTCCGTTAACACCATTTTGGGCTGGTTTACCGCTGGCAATAAAACTCATCACGTCCAGTTTAGTGGCTAGACCCTTGAGGACATCTTTGCCATCTGCAAAAACAAAATCAATTTTCAGACATTCAGAAACAAATTAAAAAATTTAAATTTACCTTCTTTGTCAACAATCAGGACGCATGGATCCACTTCCAAAATACGAGCCAATTTACCCAATATTGCCGAGGAAGGTATACGAATGATACGCTTGTTAACGGCTTTCAAGACCACTTCGTCAGTTTTACGATTCATGGTAACAATTTGATTGATTAATGTCTCCTGGCCGACGGTGCCCAAAATGGAACTGGAATAAATTGGAAATTTTGGATTGGATCTTTTATTTTGCTATTGACAAACTCACCCATCCTCCTCATCCAAAATGGTTATTTGATCTAAATGATTTTTCTTCATCAGCTCAATGGCATCGGCAAATTTAACATCCGATTTAATGGTCAAGGGGTTGCTGAGTTTCAATTCGCTTACAGGTACATTCCACCACCAATGTTCATGTTCATTGGTGACCTCCTTTAAGTCACGTGCCTCCATCCAATTATCCGAAACAAACCTGGTCATATAGTTGCGAATGCCATCGGGTAAGATGACAACACATCGTTGTCCCTCCTTCAAGTTCTTGGCAAATCTCAAAGCCGCAGCCATGGCACCACCCGATGAACCGCCACACAACAAACCCTCCTCGGCAATCAAACGACGACTCATGGGGAAACAGTCCTTATCAGTGATTTTAGCCCAAACATCGATTACCGAATGATCCATGACGGTGGGTGTGAAAACATAGCCAATACCCTCCACCTCATAGGATTGAATATCAGTTTTGTTCAATGTTTCGGGTCGGGCCAAAACCGAACCGAAAGGATCAACGCCAACAATTTGGCATGATGGCAATTCCTCTTTGATTTTGCGGGCGACACCCGTTATGGTACCCCCCGTACCGGCACCGCACACAACCATATCGACCTTATTGTCCAATTGCCAGAGAATTTCCGCAGCAGTACCATCGTAATGGGCCAAAGGATTGCCAGGATTGCGATATTGATCCATAACAATGGAATTGGGTATTTCCTTTTGCAAACGTTGGGCCACAGTAATCAGGCCTTCAGGTGAATCGTACGGTGCTTCGTTGGGTGTTCGAACAACTTTGGCGCCCAAGGCGTGCAAAGCGTACACCTTTTCATTGGACATCTTCTCGGGCATAACAATCATACATTTGTAACCCTTAATGGCACAGGCCATGGCGAGACCAATACCGGTGTTACCCGAGGTTGGTTCGATAATTGTACAGCCCGGTTTAAGTAGACCCTTATCTTCGGCATCTTGTACCATACGATAGCCAATGCGGTCCTTGATCGAACCACCGGGATTTAAGAATTCACATTTGGCGTCTGGAATAAAAAAACTGAGAAATTAATTTTCTTCTTTTATAGGAAAAAATAGGTCCTTAGTATCTGATTTTTTTTTATGAAAAAAAAATTGTTTTCAGATTCTGAGCAATTTTTTCCATAGAAAAAAATCAGAGCTTAGCTTCTGAGGATTGTTTTCTATAGAAAAAAATCTGACCTCAGCTTCTGAGGAATTTTATCTATAGGAAAAAATCAGAGCTCATCTTCAAAGGGATTTTTTCTATAGGATAAAATCAGAGCTCAACTTCTGAGGAACTTTTTAATCGGAAAAAATCAGAGCTCAGTTTTTTAGGAATTTTTTCGATAGGAAAAAAATCAGAGCTCAGCTTCAGAGCAATTTTTTCTTCCTTTCAGAATTTCTTTTTACAGAAAAAAATCTGCCTTAAAATTCTGAAGATTTTTTTCTGAAAAAAATCTGTCCTCAGCATTTACGACAAAATGCTTCTATAGAAAAAATCTGTTCTCATCTTATGACTAATTTTGTTTTCTATAGAAAAAAAATCTACTCTCAGCTTCTGAGAAATTATTCATACTTACACATTTCACATTTAATGCCCTCCGATTTGGGAATATTATTCAGTTTTACCAAAGGAGTACAGCCAATGGTCTCTAAAATATTGGCGCTAATTTTCTGGCGATGGGCACTGAATTAAAAATGGAGTAACATTGGAATAATTAAATAAATCGATAAAAAATAGTCGCAACTTACATTCCCCGTTGAGTGTGTGGTGTCTTCTCTTTGGTACCCAATTTCCATGGACATTTTGATGGTTTTCCAGGATCAATAAAATCCTTTGGTCTTTCATAGGGTTTTGGGGCAGGCATTTTGTTGTTAATTTCTTCTTAAAAAGTTTCTAGGCTGCAAGCAAAGAAGGAGGGAGGAAGAAATGTTGATTATCCACAAGATTCTAGCCAACAAAAAATCGACGACTTCCGCGTTTGCTCGCGGTGGCAGAACTGAACTACTACCCGTTTTTGTATGCGGCATGTTAATTGTTTTTATGTTGGCATCCTATCGCCCTTCTAATCAATTTTGTTGGTGATTGAAGAAGAGAGTTTGTTGTTATTGTTCGTGTTGTGTGCGCGTAGAAGTTTCTGTGCGATAACTTCGTGAGCTTGAGCAGAGTAAGACTAACAACAAACAGCGGCTTAACGCAAGCAATTAATCTGAAGTGACTTTATCATTGCAGACGTCATGCGCCCGACTCGATATCGATGTCCGAGAATAGATGGTACAACTCATGGTTCATTCGATGGCGATATTCACCGTCGATGCAAATCGGCCTATAGAGCTTTCCTAGAATTTTTCTCTCAAACCCTCCAAGAGCTGTCTCATGTGTTTGCGCAAGTACCAATGCTTCAGATCCATACACCAGCATGGGTAGTATCAGCGTCTTGTAGAGTGTTATATAAAATCATTAACTACCTTGAAGCTGTAGTTCTAAAGTTCCACAGTTGGTCCGAGTCTACTGGACGTCTTGTGCGTTGCTACCGTTAGCTTGGTCTTTTCGCCATTTACTGCTAGTTCCACTTTGGTAGACTCCTCAATTTGTTCAAAAGTGGCTGTTGCCGCAATGTTCGACTCATTATGTCGATGTCGTCAGCGTGACCCAAAAGTGGATTTTTAGACTTTTCGATTTTTGCCTCTGACTATAAAATCGCTTTTCGATCTTTCGATTTTGTGAAACCTGTTTCCGCTGAAGGTTTTCCTATAGAAGAGAATTTTACAGAGCCGAGACTCCACTTCTTCATAGAAGATGTAGAGAATCTTCTTAAAGGTGACCAGTAGACTCTTCTCGTAGAAGAGCAGATGGTCCGATTAGGTTTTTATAGAACCTCCAGATTTTCTCTAAAAGCCTAATCGGACCATCTGATCTTCTACGAGAAGACGATCTGAAGGTCTTATTCTCCATAGAGACCTGAAGGTCTCTTTCTTCATAGAATAGCCGACGCTCTTCTTTTTTATAAAAGTCCTGATGGGTCTCCTTCTTCATAGAAGGAGCATTTTGAAAAACTTCTGGTATCGAATAGTAGCAGTGACGTGGATACCCCAGAACCAATAATAGATGACGGTATAGAGTGTATACCATCTAGGCAAGATGAAGTCAGAATAGCAATCAATCGGCTAAAGAATAATAAAGCAGCAGGTGCCGATTGGTTACAAGGCGAACTATTCAAGACTGGTGTTCAGATGCTGGTAAGGAGCATGCACAAGCTGATTAGTACAATTTGTCTAGAAGAATGCATGCCCAATGATTGGAACCTTAGCATCCTATGTCCTGTGCAAAAAAAAAAAAAAAAGAGACAAGACGATAAGTGCCAACTATAGAGGAATAAGTCTCCTTCCCATCGCATATAAAGTGCTATCCAGCGCACTGTGTGAACGACTGAAGCCAATGGTCAATGACATTATTGGACCATACCAATGTGGCTTCAGACCTGGCAAATCCACCACAGACCAGATTTTCGCTCGGCACCAAATCCTGAAAAAACCCACGAAAAACACATCGACACATTCCACCTATTCGTCGATTATATATCCGCATTCGACAGCCCTATCCGTTCAGAGATGTATAAAGCCCTGTCTGCGTTTGGCATTCCTGCAAAATTAATTCGGCTATGCAGGATAACTTTAACAGGCACAAGGACCTCTCGGAGCACTTTAATACCGAACGAGGATTCAGGCAAGGTGATAGTTTGTCTTGTGACCTTTTTAACATCCTGCTGGAAAAGGTCATACGATAGGCAAAAGTGAACATAATGGGTCGAACATTGAGAACGGTAACAGCCACCTTTGAACAAATTGAGAAGGAGTCTGCCAAAGTGGGTCTGGCAGTAAACGGCGAGAGGACCAAGCTGATGGTATTAACGCGCAAGACGTCCAGTATACTCGGACCAACTGTGGAACTTGAGAACTACAGCTTCGAGGTAGTCAAAGATTTTATATACCTTGGTACCGCCATAAATAATACGAATTACATGAGTTTTGAAATTCGGAGAATAATAGTGATGGCCAACCGATGCTACTATGGTCTGAGAAAACAACTCAAAAACAAGGCTACCTCCCGCCGGACCAAACTCACACTCTACAAGACGCTGATACTATCCGTGCTGTTATATGGATCTGAAGCATGGTTACTTACGCAAGCAGATGAGGCAGCTCTTGGAGTGTTTGAGCGACAAATTCTCTGAAAGATCTATGAGCCGATCTGCGTTGACGGTGAATATCGCCGTTGATCGTTATTCTCGAACATCGACATTGTTAGACGTATTGAGCTGCAGCGACTATGTTGGCTAGGTCATGGATGGAGAAGAATGGATGCAGATGTCCCAGCCCAGAAGGCATATAAAAGCGAACCAGCTGATGTTTCACGCAGAAAGGGAAGGCCACGAATACAATGGAAAGATCAAGTCGAAGACAACATTGCCGAAAACGATCTTTCAAATTGGAAAAACTGCGCAAAAGACCGACGCGCCTGGAAATCTTTTCTAAGGTCTTCTTCGCTGAGCTAAAAATACTCTTTATAGAAGAGATGAAGGCCTTCTTCATAGAGACCTTTTTTCATTAAAAGGATGAATTTCTTCATTTTCAAAGAAGAGCTGAAGGTCTTCTTATTCATAGAGGACCTAAAAGCTTTTCTTTTTCATAGAAGAGCTGAAGACCTTCTTCGTCATAGAAGAGCTGAAGGTCTTCTTCTTTGTCATAGAAGAGCTGAAGGTCTTCTTCGTCATAGAAGCGCTGAAGGTCTTCTTCTTTGTCATAGAATAGCTGAAGGTCTTCTTTTTTGTCATAGAAGAGCTGAAGGTCTTCTACTTTGTCATAGAAGAGCTGAAGGTCTTCTTCGTCATAGAAGAGCTTTGCAGGTCTTCTTTGTCATAGAAGAGCTGGAGGTCTTCTTTGTCATAGAAGAGCTGGAGGTCTTCTTTGTCATAGAAGAGCTGGAGGTCTTCTTTGTCATAGAAGAGCTGGAGGTCTTCTTTGTCATAGAAGAGCTGGAGGTCTTCTTCTTTGTCATAGAAGAACTAAAGATATTTTTCTTCATAGAAAAGCTGATGGTCTTCTTCGTCATAGAAGAGCTGAAGGTCTTCTTCGTCATAGAAGAGCTGAAGGTCTTCTTATTCATAGAAGAGCTGAAGGTCTTCATCGTCATAGAAGAGCTGAAGGTCTTCTTCGTCATAGAAGAGCTGAAGGTCTTCTTCGTCATAGAAGAGCTGAAGGTCTTCTTCGTCATAGAAGAGCTGAAGGTATTCCTCGTCATAGAAGAGCTGAAGGTCTTCTTCGTCATAGAAGAGCTGAAGGTATTCCTCGTCATAGAAGAACTGAAGGTCTTCTTTGTCATATAAGAGCTGAAGGTTTTCTTATTTATAGAGCTCTTCTTCATCGTCAAAAACAAGCTAGATATAATAATCGAAAAAAAAATGAAAATCCTAGCTTGATTTTTTTTCAAATCCTTCTTTAAATAATCATCAAAAAATATATTTTTTTATAAAAAGCGCTTATATATGTATGTACATCACAAAAAACACGTGTCAAAAATTGTTTCCAAATTATTTAATAATCAAAGCTTTGAATTCATTTAAACAAAATCTATCAATCGATCAAATATGATAGTCCGATAATGAACCTGTATATGACACATGTGTACAAAATTACATATCTATAAAAAAGATTAAAAAAAACTCATTAATTGATTTAAATTGAAGAAAGTATACATAGATAAACAATATAAAAACAAAAAGAAACACATTGTATTTTTCCAACATTAATAATAATTTCCAGTTTTTTTCCACTACATATCTCTTATTGCTTTGCTGCTGTCTAAAGCCGACAGTTGTAGTAGAAGAAGAAGATATCATATGGGAGGTAATAGACAACAAGCGCGTACAAGCATGAATTGTTGTTGTTAATTTATTTAGTAGTCAGTTGTGGAAGAGAGAATGGCAATAATAGAACAATGAGTATTTTTTGTTTGATGAGAAAGTAATTTGAAAATTTTAACGTTTTTATACCCTACACAACTATGTTGTCAGGGTAGTATAGCTTTGTGCAGCCCCAAGAGTTTGTAACACCGCGAAATATTGGTCCTAGACCCACCTTTAAGTATACCGATCGTCATATCTCGACTAGCTGAGTCGATCTAGACATGTGTGTCCGACCGTCCGTCTGTCCATTATAATTTGTAAACACGATACAGGCCACAGTTATGGACCAATCTTCACGAAATTTGCATGTAGGATGCGTTCGGACTAATGAAGACCCCTATTGTTTTTTTGTCGGTTTTTCTGGTCACTCCAGAGGCCGCAATTATTGCCCAAACATCTCGAATTTTAACATGGAGAAGGGGATTGGGCCAAGAAATAAGCATGCCTGTTTCAAAACGATCGGTCAATATTTAGAGGGTCAAATGGACCCTGACTTTTGTGTGAGAAATGAAAAAAAATCGTATTCTATAGCGTATATATTTACTCCTGAAGGACATAGAGCCGAGAAGTTGATAGTATATCCAAGAGGAATGGTTGGCCTTTAAATTGATACCAATTATATTGCCGTATGTACTCGGATGTGTGAGTTACACTTCAATATTTACAGGTGCTTACGTACTGAGATATTATTTAGTAACCCATTACCACACTAGAGGGCGGAAATATAGCGCTGATCGCTTTGAAATGTTCCATGAGGTTCCAGTTGTGGTCAAGTACAACGCCTATAATTTTCGGCGATGATCAGATAATAATTTTGGGATGAAGTGGACCGAAAACTTATTTTTTTGTGTTTTTTTCGAGCCTATCTTTAGGCAACATTGAAAGCCGAACATCACAACACAACCCACGCTCAAAGGAATCTGGACA